TTCACTTAAATATGGTATAAAATGATCTTTAAAAATGGTTTTAAGAGCTTACTTAGGTAAATCTAAAAAATATCTTTTTTAAAATTCACATGCTCATTTTAAAAACAGGTTGTTAGAATTTATTGACTCTTTGCTATTAGCACAAAGCGAAATTTAGTTACAAAATTTATATTCGAGTCTAATCATAATTAGGTTAAAACACCAGTACTATACTGTTTCTAGCTCAATAGAAGCATTAAACAGCTGTGTAAGTTTTACCAAAGGACTTTGGTAATGATTTTAGTAAAATTAACATTGAAATAGGGTTTATAATAAGTGAAAAATCTTGATCAATTTAATAAAATTCGGTAATTTCATTATATTACCTTAGAGACTGACATAAAAGCATTTTTTCGGTTTTTACTTCTTAGTTTTGTATTATTTACTAAATGTGTGGTAATAAGAACTATACGTATGCTATACTTAAGAAAACCAGCAGTATTTAAAGCAAACTATTACCTCATGAATGCCAAAAATTACCAAATGAATGATTTAAGTACCATATATTTTGGTTTTAATTACGAGAATTATGGTTTTTTGCTACCAGAAATGTCTTTATCACGCTATTCATTAGTTCCACCAGAATTTACTTCTCCGATTACAGCGTTATATTTTGGAATTTGTTACTATTACTTATTATATGCTTAATTTATTTTTCATTACGTTACATGTTAATCTTACTTTTATACGCATTATCCTTAAATTTTTTTAAAATTATAATCTGCATCGCATTCGTCTATTAGTCACATAACACTTTCTTCTTATATTTTTACTGGCTTATAGAAGAAGAACTATTATTAAACGTATTTATTTTATTTATGTTTTATATGCTCACTTTAAAAATTCATACCAATTTATTATAAATTTTTATTCGTTCAAAAATTTAAGGGAACATATAATGAAGCTTGGATTACAATAAATAGTTAGCGTGAATCTTAGATCTTAGTGATCTAACTAATTTTAATAAAAATCAAAAATTCAGTTTGCACTTTTCAGTTTGACTTTTTTTTGCATTTTTTCAGAATCCCAAACATATTTCATTAATGTTTCAGAAGCAATTTTTTAAAAAAAATTATGGATATATTTGATGCAATTTTGATAAGGTTTTTTTTTTGAACTTATACTATTAAATAGTGTAATTATTTTATTTAGGGATCTATTATAAAATATGGCCAATTTAAGGACATCTTACTACTATTTGCTGAAAAAAACTTTTAATTGTCATTTTAATAAATCATCTTCAATCTAATTCTCCGATTTGTTGCTATTCCTCCATTTGCTCAATTTGATAAAACTACTGAACAGTCTAATTAAATTTTGCAAAGAGAAAAAATTGCTTTGTTCTTCACAGTTTAAAATCACTTATATATAAATTTTTGTTTCAAGAATTATAAAATAGATTAAATCGGTGGAATAACAGCTAATATAATATCAAAGCACACTTTTTTAAAATTAAGCGAAAAATTTTATTACGCAAAACACTTCTATTATGCTAAGAAACCAAGTATTTTCAAAACTACCAGAATATGGTAAAATTTACCTTGTTTCTAGTTTAACGGAAACAGTAAAAAGCTCAAGAACTTTTACAGAAGAGTTTTGGAAATAATTTTGAAAAAACTAACAATAAATTATGCTTTCATAATATGTGATAACATTTGGTAGATGAAGTAAAAATTGGTAATTTTATCATGATAGCTTCAAGCATGGAAAATCCTTTATTTTGTTTTATTTTTTACTAAATGTGTGGTAATAAGAGCTGTAATTTTGAGAACCTGAATATTCGGTAATTAGTTACCATATGAAAGGAAAAATTCCTAAGCGAATAGTTTAAATATCGTACATTTTGGTTTTATTAACCAGAATTAAAGCTTTTTTTTTTACCAGAAATATCCTAGCATTACATTGCGGTTATATTTCCAGGATTTTTTTCTCCCTGTATATTATGCAGTAAGCAGTTCAGAGAGTATGTATAAACTAAATTGATAATAATATTATTTTTGCCTTTGCGAAGGAATTTTTGGGAGGGAGTGCTGCATAGCCTGAGTCACTGCAGCTCATGTTATTTAGTTTTATCAAAAATTGTTTAATTAATTATTTCTGCTTAATTATCTTCTGCTATAATTTTTTCTTCAACATGTACCAATTTTTTCACTGACAACAAAATATACGTCTATTTCTTAAAAAGAAAACACAAAAGTATTAAAGTGGCACGAACTCTTAAAACTCTTCGGTTATAAAACTCTTCGGTAATAAAATAACATGTTTTAGATTGCATTAAAAATGAACAGAATTTCTTGCGATATGGAAGGATTAGAAAAACGATTCTGAGAGGTGTTTTAGAAACTGCAGCAATGATTGCAATTATTACAAATAAGTACTTTCATGCATCTGAGTGTAATGTAATGAATATAATTAAATGAGGTTCAAATGAGGTGTAATGAACATAATTAAATGAGGTTCAAATGAGGTTTAATGAACATAATTAAATGAGGTTCAAATGAGGTGTAATGAACATAATTAAATGAGGTTTAAATGAGGTGTAATGAACATAATTAAGCGAGGTTCAAATGAGGTGTAATGAAGATAATTCAGATTAACGCAAATATTATGCCAACTTTCCCCAATTGAAAAATAATTCGTCTATATAATGTTAACGTAATATAAATCTCAAATATATTTCATGAATCCTTTTAAATCTTGAACAATTGTGCTTAAATTATCTTAACTGAAATTATCGCTATAAAACTTTGTCTTATTATTTTCTTTTAAACTTTTTATTACATTGGAAATGAATTTCGTAAATTTTCAAATAAACTGGGCTAAATTAAACTTCTATTTTATCCTTAATTGAAAATTTCATTTTTTAATTACAAATAAAAATTTTATTTTTTATTGAGAGTCTTATTTTTAAATTAAGAGTTTAATTGAGATTGAATTTAAACTTCAGAAATTTAAGTTTTCTTCGAATTTTTGCCAAAGCGTGCTGGTAAAAATTTCCTATTGCACCAAAGCACTATGCTTGAAAAATTAACAGTATAATGTGGTTTTATAAAATATGAAAAAATTTAGAAAATTTAGCAAAATTTTAAAATTTTATCACGATAACTTAGAGCATGGAATAAAAGCAATTATTCGAATACATTTATTTTAAATTTCTGCATTTTTTTCCCTAAATGCTTGGTAAAAGGAACTATAATTTCGAAAACCAAAGTTTCCGGTAAACCATTACCATATAAACCTAAAAATTTACCAATTAATAGTTTAAATATCTCATATTTTGGATTTTATAACTGAAATTAAGGCCTTTTTAAACATAAATACCATTACCATACAGTACTGTAATTTTACAAGAACTTTTTCTTTGTGTAAGTTGAAATTGTAACTTTCGAAATTTTGTAAAATTGTCAAACATCTAATTTCCCTATTTTTTTCCCCAATACACAACATTTTTCTGTTATCACGTTTTGTCATTTTCTAATGTTTTGAAGGTTTATACCACATCTATTTTGAAGCTAACTTGAGTATATGCTTCATATTTTCGCATTACGCCTCTGTTTTATTTAAGTTGATCGGAAATTCCAGATACTTATACGCTATTTTCTTGCCTAAAAATATGGCTGACCTCTTTCATACTCACTGTGAGCTTTCGAAGATAATTCCGTAAAACAAAAACAACCAGTTTTGCAAGGTTCAATCATTATTCAGTCTGACTAATAGAGTCTTTTACTTTTAACGAGGGATTGAAGTGAATATTTTCCGTAAACACAACTTAAGGAAAATTTTAAAAAATGGTATTTGATCAGTTATTTGGCCAGTGTATTTGAAAAATACACTTTGCTATACTATTCTCACAGAAATTGTTAACCATTCATATTTTTTCAGCAAATCCAATTAATAACAAAAAATTGTACTTCGCATCAAACATTTAGCAATGTCCATGATTCAATACTTGAAGATTATAAATGCATAGCTTTAAATCTATCGAAATCAAATTTTGAATGATTATATTTTTAAAATCATTCATTGTGTTGAAATTTATATTTTTTACTGATTCATAATTTTGCCAACGTGGAAATGCATTATATTTTTAGCAATACCTGATTCGCCTTTGGTAAGTGTGAGCTCTAAATATAGAAAGTGATTTGGAATAAAATATCCTTACATCAGAATTTGAAAACGCGGAACTGAAGTGAAAAAAATTTCGGCAATTGTATTTGTTTTTCGACAGGTAACTTTTAAATAAAAGACAAAATTTAGGGTAAGTAAGAGAGAAGAAAGTGCAACTAAACAATAATTTATCGCTTCAGACTTTATTCAGGTACACCGGCATCAATTTTAAACTTATAAGATTTAAATGATCAGAATCACAAGCTTTTTGCTTCATTTGATGATCTAGATCATTTTATTGTCTTTTAAATTATATATTGTCTGTTTCTCAGGAGGTAACAGAGTTAAGTTTATACATATATTATTTAATAATCAATTTTTTTTCTTTTAAAAAAACTTGTCACACTGATTTTTGTAATTTTCTTTTTTTAATTTCATCTTCATCATATTGTCACGTTGCTACAATATTTATCTCAATTAAGCCTCATACTCAGCCAATTTATAACTTAAATAATTCATACGTACAATATTCACCTGATTTAAATATTTTCCAAAATTTTCCGGGTTTTATTCGGTAGTCCAGTAAACTTTTGAAAAATATTCTGAAAAAAAAATAGCAAAAAGAATATTTTCATCTTTCCAGCATAGAGTGTACTAAAATAAAAACCTCTCGCTCAATTACTTTAAAATTTTGATTGAAGGAGTTGATCAAATTATTTTCAAATCTATTATTATTAATTCATTTCGAAACAAATCACGACAAAATCATGCATTTAAGATGTTATTTTAAAAATTAATGAAATATAAATTTGTTCTTTGCTTTGTAAACACACGTGCAAAACATTAAAATTTACCTGTTACATCTGTTATCGCTTGTCCATGTGCAATTAGTTTAGAAACAAGCACTATAAAAACTATCATTATGTGTTTTGATATAATATTCCTATATGCAAAATGCATGGACTTAAATCCTTATTTAATGAGATACAGTCAAACACTCATCAACATTTTTTAAACCGAAAGAACCCAAATCCACCTGACAGAAACCTCGTGTTTTCTTTGGAGATCAAGACCACGTGTCTGTCACTCATAGACGCTTTCACAATAAGAGAGAACTCTATTCCAAAGAACCACACTCTCTAAGACTCGTAGTCGGTATGAAATCAATTTTCTTGTGGGGTTAGGGATATGCGCTCCCTTTTAAGCTGGCGCATGCGTGCATCAAGTTTTGGGATAATCGAAAGACCAAAAGTGGTTGGGTGTTTTACCTGAGTTTCTAAATTTCTGGTTTTGTTTCTTTTGTTTAAGTTTTTTACACAGAATAGAAAATAAAAGTCTATCACAAACTGTTGCTTTTTATTTGTTTTTTAAATATCTTCAAAGTAAAAGTAATATTAATTTAAACCATTTATAGCTGCATATATGAAGGTAACATGTGTAATTAATTAAAAAAATTTACGAAATGAAAAAAAAATTATCTTGTTTTATATATACCCAATAATGCACAATAATTAACTGTGTTAAGCTATTTATCAACTTGCAAGCATTCTGATTGTTGCGTATTTTTCCTGAGTAATTATTATATATTTCTGCTAAAAGTAAAAAATAACACTTTACTCAAAGCACAATGAAAATAATTACAAAAAAGACGCTAAATTAAAATTAAATTGGGTACTTGCAACTCGAAAAGAAGTGAAGTGATTATACCAAACCATGAAATTTAAATCAGATTGAATTAAATACCTGTAATTGACGTCACGCATGTACATTGAACCTGATTAGCTTCTAAATCAGGTTATTATACCCCGATTTAACTACGATAAATTCAGTTTCTTTTATCTTATTAAAGAATTCGTAAATTTTAGTTTGATTCATTTGTTTATGTAATGAAAAAAACAGCAAAAATTTCAGGCCAGTTTTGTATATTGAGTTTTGTAATTCTTAAAATCCTCTAAAATTTTTAATTTTTTGAGAGAAAGAGAAATTTGATCAATAAGAAAATGAATAAATATCACAAGGTTATGTAACGTTCACCCTACACACTTTTCCCTCGAAATTACTTTGGAGGATAGAAGTTACCCCCAAGCTGTTACAAGTTACCTCTACAGCCACAAGCTACCTCCACAAGTTACCTACTTGTACCTTGGAGGATACAAGTAGTAGTGAGAATACAAGTTACCTAGGTATCCTCACATCTCGCCTTTTTCTTACTCCAGTACATTTCAGTACGTTTTAGATTAAAATGTTAGACTAAGAAAGAAGAAGTTAATAATCTGGATACTGCTGTACTCAATACTATAAATCATTACATTCAATTATATAAAGTACTACTATAAATCTTATGCGCATATATTACTAAACTATACTTACACCATGCAATATTTTATGATGATAAATAAAAGTCTTAGATATATTTTAAAATAATTATTTTGTGATTAAAAACTAATTTAAAGTATTCGATCCATGTGATTTTATTATGGTGTGGTGATATAACACTATTTTTTAAGTAGCTATAGACATTATAAGTAACCATCTTTAAGTGTCTTCTGATGTCAGGTCAATTGATGACAGTTATGCTTAAAATACAAATAATTTAACACTGTTTCGCAAAAACGAATAACTAATAATCGAATACAGGATGGTGCATAACGAACAAAAACAAAAAAAACTAACTACAATATTTAGAAAAACTACTGTGAACTATGAATACCCCTTAACTGTCATGTGGGAAAAAAAGAGTAACGCTGCTGTCTGGCTCATCGTTGCCAAGAGAACTAGCATTTGCCCTTGAGACGCCAATTTTATTTACAAGGAGGTGGCTCAAATCTAAATATTTTCTCATTTTTTACATGCAATAAGTTATATCTGCATTTTGTCTATTTCTTTGTGAACAATTACGATGCAAAAATAAATTTGGAATAAACTAAAATGGCGTAGGCGCAATGTTGGCGAAAATGGGGGAAGGGATAGTAAGTAGGTACCAAAAATTCTTACGTGGTTGTCTTTCCTGAACAGAATCTAGGCACGAGGTGAAACGCTTTTACAGATACGATAATGCTTTCCTTCGCCAAGTTGAACAGATAGTTATCAATCAGTATTGAGCAGACTACAATAATATTACTATTCTATAAGGTTAAAGGCTTCTCATTTACTTAAAATAGTAATCAAAGGCAGAAATAAATGATACACAGCAAAACAATTATCAGATAAATCTTTAAAGAAATGAACGCATGTAATGCGTTCATTTCTTCAATAAAAATTTATTATTAAAGAAATTTAATAATAAGGTATCTCATTCAATTTTTTAATGGTAATCAACTGAAAAAAAGGAAGTCGAAGACGATTTTTTTAAGCAATGAGTACGTTTAAGGTGAAAAAAGTTGACGGATACGATTATGTTTTCCCCCACTAAGTTGAAAAGCAAATTAAAACTCATGCAGTTTATAAATGATTTAGTGGTTAAAGTTTTAATTTATACAGTTAGTTTTACAAAGATATATCCTTATATCGAATACATGGTTACGATACTTCGATAAGAAATTTACTTCCGTTAAACTAAATAAATTTTTTAACTATTATTTTTGCTTTTTTTCGACAACTCCAGCTCTTCACTTGTTGTTTTCAAGAAATAAAGCATGCTATTTTATAAAAAGTATATATTTTTAACAATAACAATAAGCATGCATTCACGAAATAAAATATATATTTGTATCACGTAGCATATTATTTTATTTTCAGACCTGAATCAGTATGGTATGTAATGCAAATAACCTTCTTCAAGTCATTCCAAAAAATTGAACTGGAATTTATTTCACTAGTAACCATCATCTTCATAAACAGAATAAACTACAACAATCGTCCCATCGCACCGTTTCCCATCTCACTGTAGTTGTGTTTAGCATGAAAACCCAAGCGTTAACTTATAAAGTAAAAACTTGAAAAACTAAATATATCCTTTGTTACAACCAACAAAAATGAAAACTAATTCTAGGACACACTTGATTTTTTTTAAATTTTTATACATCCTAATGTTGCATAGTTTAGTTTGAAAAAAGAAACAAAGGTAAAGAAATAAGGAAATAGTTGTTTAGGTCGAGGCAGGAAATTTCCGATTGACAGATCGTCGTTACCGAGGTAATGATTTTTATAAAAGTATGCAATGATTTAGGCTTAGGAAATTATTTTGAAAAAATTAACCATAAAATATGATTTTATAATATCTGATCAGATTTTACAAGTGTTTTAAAATTTGATAGTTTTATCATGCTATTTTAGAACAAAGCAATAAAAAAAAATTATTCAGCTAAATTTACTTTTCTGTTACGTATTTAAGCATTTTTTACTAGATGTATGATCATAATACTGTTTTTGAAAACCAGAATTTCCGTGTACCATATGAACGGCAAAATTACAAAATAAATGGTTTAAGTGACGTATACTTTGATTTTATTAACCAGAACTCTTCTTTTTTACCAAACATGTCATTGCCATATTGGACGTTAATTTTACCAGAATATTTTTCTCCATGCATGTTATGAAACAAAAATAAATTATTTACACAAACGTTTATTCAACTCCAATTTGAGCTGTTAGTCCAAATTATCTTAGTGTTAATCAACTTCAGTTTATCTGTGACAGAATAAATCCCGATGGAAGATTAAGTGCACCTGAATTAAAGTAATCAGTCTAGCAACAACCAAACTTCTTAGTTTCTAATCCAAACTCTTCCTTCTCTATCTTGTTTGCCATTCAATCATTCTGTTATACATCTTGTCTAAGAGAAATACATGAATGTGGATCATTTAAGAAATTGGTCAGGAAAAAATTAGGAGCAATGTTTACATAAGTACTTCTCTTGTAGATATTATTTTCCAATGAATGATTAACCGTCCTCTTATGAAATTTAAATGAATAATCTTAATTTTTAGATGTGTGAATACAAAAAATAAATTATTCGTAATTTTTTACAAAAAAAAAGTTATTTCAGAACAAGTTTCGAATTATTTACATTTTAAGATTTTAATATAATATGGTTTTAATAAGATTTTAATAAGATTTTACAAATAAAATTTTAATAAGATTTTAAGCATACTGGTGCTCCGTAACCACTTCTTTATGAATTTTCCGTTTTCTATTTTAAGCAAGGAAAGAACAGAAATGCTATCGAAATCAATCAACTCACTTAAACTTTAAAGGGAAAACTCTAAAATCAATTTCCTCTGATAAATAGATATATTTGAAACGAAAAAAAAGTGGAAATATGAAATTTGAGTTTAACGGTTCTTTTTAATGTACACTTCAATATAGCACTAGTTACTATATCTCAAACTCACAATTCGTGAACTAACTACTTTATTTTTTCTTCTTAAATTGCATTTGAAGAAATCAGCATAAATATTTAAGTGACATTCATAAAAATTACGGATTTTTGAAAAAAATAGTTTGATCATTCAGATAGTTTGTCTCCGGGATCAAATCCCAGCAATGGTTTGTCGATACGCACCTGGCCAGCACCAACCACAGTATTGATGTAAAATATGCTCAGACGAATCATGGTTTAAAGCTCCCTTGCCGTCAGACTAACCATTGGAGGTTTTCCTCACCATGTAACTACGCAAACGCGGGTAAGTTCCATCGAAAAGTCCTCCATGAAGGCGAATTTTACCCAAACTTGATCCATCAGTTCATTTGTCTTCTGGATTGGGTTCAAAATTACAAGGCCACGAAGCTAAACTTCTGCAGTCGGAAGCCCAAAAATTTGGGTGAGCCGTTCAACTAATGTTATAAAATAAATATATAGTTCGTCAAGTCTATAAATTTCAATTTTTTCAATGAAGGAAAGCAGAAAGGGACCATTTGTCAGTGTGTTTGGAGTAGTAGACCATTTCAAAAACGTTTGGCAACAGGAACTTTAAAAGTTACCTTAAAAAGGCTTTCTTTTTTGGCAGCTAATTAAAATGCCAAAAGTGAGAGCGCTGTAATACGAACAATTCAAATAAGTGTAAGAGATTTATAGATTTCTCTAATTGAAAGTCTTTGGATTTTTTTTTTAAAAAAAAAGCACAATCTCTAACTCGTACTGACAACTTATAAACTTTTAAAACAAAAGTAATTCGCGATCGCAACGAACTATAGGGG